ACTGCCCCAACAAGCACCTCAACTCCAGACCCGCAGCGGCGTCCGCAGAACAGCACCCTTCCTCCTCCCGGTTGGCAGCGACACCAAATGTAGTGAACAGAACACTAGTTGGGGACAATCGAATGTATTTCAGCAAAGATTACAGACTATCTCAATAAATTCTGATTACCAAACAATGAACAGTCAATTTGCAAATTAACAACCAATAGTCTTGATCTTCACTGTTTCTTCTCTAATTCCATTGTTCGTACATTTTCCAACCGATTGCACTTCATTCCAGTTCTTTCGTCATCGGTCTTCTGCCAAAATACATTCTATGTCTGACCCACACCATATACTACTTATATGGATATAAGTAGACCACACCACACTCGTCCCCCCTTTAAAGCATTCGACCATGCGGTGGTTCTGCTCGCCACGCCACTATCCTCTTTCACTGCAGTCTGTGCCAAACTCTCCGTCAGAATGTCGAGTCTGCGGCGCGCTGACCTCCATAGCTCCGTCGACCTGCCGGGGCACCAACTTCCTCATCCACCCGGCACCTGGGACGTTCAACACCCGTACTCCACCGGCCTGCTGAGCCATCTACATCCGATGTCCGCACAGCAGCCGCACGTCCCACTGCTACTCTCCGTCGACAGCACCCACTACAGCCAACGCCGCCCCGCCAGAACACTCCACTCGACGCCACCCCTCCGCATCAGACTGCCCCAACAAGCACCTCAACTCCAGACCCGCAGCGGCGTCCGCAGAACAGCACCCTTCCTCCTCCCGGTTGGCAGCGACACCAAATGTAGTGAACAGAACACTAGTTGGGGACAATCGAATGTATTTAAGCAAAGATTACAGACTATCTCAATAAATTCTGATTACCAAACAATGAACAGTCAATTTGCAAATTAACAACCAATTGTTTCAATCTTCACTGTTTCTTCTCTAATTCCATTGCTCATGCATTTTCCAGACGATTGCGCTTCATTCCAGTTCTTTCGTCATCGGTCTTCTGCCAAAATACATTCTATGTCTGACCCACACCATATACTACTTATATGGATATAAGTAGACCACACCACACTAGTATGAGACTCCTCACCAATGTACACCCATAACTTCGCTTTTGAGAATCAAACCTACAACGTATGATCTTGCGCGTGAACGTTTAATCTCGAGACCAATGAAACGGTATCCTACGGTGTTTTTATCTAACTTCAACCAATCCATTTCTGTGTCCATCAACCTAATTAAAACTTCGGACATTCACTTTTTTATTATTCCCGGGACCTATCAGTTTCGAGCGCGAGCACTTAACCATTAGACTACTGAGCTGATTGGTATCCAGCGGTGTCAATGTCTGACTTCAACTAATCCACGAAATTGATCAACCATTCATCTTTCTATTAGATGATTTTCTTTTCTTTTTGATATAATCATTATTTATTTTAGTCAGTGGAAAACAATGATAGCAACTCTCTTACAATCATTTTTGATTGTGGTTAGTTAATCCCTTTTATTAACTTACTTAACAGATAATGGTATTTGAACATTATTAATTCATGCATTACGTTGTATTATTATGATCACTTACTTATCTGTCCAAACGTCTATGCATGATTAGATGTGATAGCCTAGGCAGATATTTCTCACTAGCTTAAATGTTGATAGTTTATGTATTGCTCGATGATTCATTCGCCTTCTCACGTACGTATATATGTACTCCAATCTTCTTATTAGCCTTCACCTGTCCTATATGCGCCTTGATTTAATTCGACTATAAGTTTGCCTCTGTATTCGCTTACACACACTCAAATTCACCATTGTGCTTCAAATTGACTGTATGTGCTTGTAGCTTTGTTATCTGTGCTATCTGCTAATAAACTGTAATCACAGATTCTTATTGCTTTCTGATTTCAAACAGTGTGAAGATTTATATAATGACGGTTACAAAAGTGATTGATTAATGATGCTAAGCCAATACAACTTGTAGTGAACAGAACACTAGAGGAGACAATCAGATGTATTTGAACACAATATTACAGAATATCTCACTAATATACAATAACCATACATTAAACAGTCAATTTGCAAACTATTATTATTATTAGCTTTATTCAATTTTATATTATTTGGTACAAAATCGAATTCTCAGCATGTTTACGTTTCTTATTTCTTCGTTGCTCCTGACGATAAATATTGAGTAATCGTCGGTTGAATGCCAGCAGTTTAGTCGATCAACATATGAATAATGTATATTCTTTTTGCTGCATGTTCCCAGCAAACATGACATCTCTGATTAGGCTTTTTGTAACTTTTACAGCGAAAGGTTGTACAGTTTTCAGAAATGCACCTGAATAGATTGTGTGATTAATAGCTATAATTATGTATTAAAACAAACAATATTAGATGACTTGTTGTAATATATAGATGACGGGAAACAGGTAGCCCAAATGTTTAAGTAGGCCTCCCTTATCAATCAATGATCTTAATCTTGACCGATCCTCCTTCAAATGTCAGTTCATTTTCTTGAATTTCATTGTTCATTCATCTTAATACTAATTGCGATTTGTTCCAGTTCTTTAACTATCGATGTTCTATCAGAATAGATTCTATACCTGACCATCATCATATACTACTTATGTGGATATAAGTAACCCAAACCACATAAGTTGTATATGGATTTAAAAATGAGTTAATTTTCTTCTAAATAAATACTTATCTAAAAAAAGAATAAATTCATCATTATTAACATTGTCAATATTACGTTTTTCTTATTAACAAAGAAATTTTAAATGAATATAGTTCTTTTTTTCAAAGTTGAAATCATGAGTCAATTGAGGCTAGACCACCAGGGAAAACCTGGAAGCACTGAACGGCCGTTTCGTCCTATTATGGGACTCCTCAGCAGTACGCACACACGATCCCGTACTCGCGAGATTTGAATTGGTAGGTCCTGGGTTCGAATCTCGCTTATGCGGGATCGTGGGTGCGCACTGATGAGGAGTCCCATAATAGGAAGGAACGGCCGTCCAGTGATTTCAGGTTTTCGATGGTGGTCTAGCTTCAATTGACTCATGATTTCAACTTTGAAATATACTGAAATCTCCACAAATTCCCTTCTGAATATAGTTCTATATACATGATTAGTTTCATAATAATAAAAGCAGAATGTATATACCTATGCGATTACCATAGATATAAGTACATTCTGCAAAACTTTACAAGCTGAGGAATGCGGTATTTTTATTCTGTTTTTTTTTCGACAAATAAATTGAAATTCATATATGTTTGTTGACCAGACACTATCAACAACATTCTATTGTAGGAGAGAGCAAACCAAATTCCAGCGGAAGAAGAAATTAAGAAGAGACATTGGAAGTCAATATGACATACATAATGAATAAATCACCCAACTGCGTTTATAAGACAAGCTCTCACATGGAATTTTCAAGACCAAAAGAGAAGAAGAAGATCAAAGAGCACATTACGCCAAGAAATGGAGACAGACATGAAGAGAATGAACAAAAGTTGGATAGAACTAAAGAGTAAAGGAAAGTACAGAATGGGTTGGAGAATACTGGTCAATGACCTATGTTCCATTGGTAGTAACAGATGTAAGTAAATCATAAATGTTTAACATAATTTTCAGAAAATAAAACTTGTCAATTATTCTTCTTTTTCTTTAACTAGTTCTTAAGCTCAGAACAAGTTTTTTTTTTTTCAATTTTGAAGGTCAAATTTTTTTTAATTTCTAAGGGATGATGAGATGCTTATTATGGCTTAATATAGTCAATTCACAGTTTAAGTTTTAAGTATCCTCAAAATCTAACTTCTATTAGATAGTATAAATGATTGTTATTGATTGATTGCTGCCGAAATATACGAATATCAGCTAACTTCACTTATATAATTATCAACTTGAATCGTGTTAGTGTATAAAGGAATTCAATAAGTCAGATACGAGAATGAATTTTTAAATACGAATATTCTATACAATCGTTGATTCAAACAAATAAGCGAAAAAAAAAACAAAAAGAGAAAAGCAAAATAACGTGCCACATAGAAGGTGACTTAGCCAACTCAATTTAATTAAGTGTAAACCAATATTTATTGTCGATTAGAAATACGTTACAGGCGTGTAATTTTAATAGTTGAAATCATGAATCAATTGAACTTAAACAATCATGGAAAACCTGGAAACACTGAACGGTCGTTTCGTCCTATTGTGAGACTCCTCAATAGTGAAATACTGAAAATACATTTTATTCCATGTGAGACACTTTAATAGAACATATAGAAACAGAATACTACTACTGTAATGAATGAGAACACGAATGAAGATAATCGGATGTATTCGAACACAAAATTACAGACTATTTCACTAAAATCTGATAACCTACAGTAAATAGTTCATTTATAAAATAACAATCAATTATGTCAATCTTCACTATTTCTTCTGTAAATATCAGTTCATCGTCTCTGTTCTCGTTGTTCATGTATTTTCATGCCAATTATGTTCCATTTGGGTTCTTTCCTTATTAATCTTCTACATGAAATACATTCTATGCCTAACCATCATCATATACTACTTATATGGATATAAGTAACCCATACCACACTACTAATAAGTCTATTATCATTATTATTATTTATTTATTATTAAAGAAATCTGATTGGTTGAATGATTATTTATTCTCTTTTTGTTCAATTTTGATTGGTTAATAAGTTTAATACATTTTATTATTTTAGAAAAAAAAAAGAATTATATTACTCCCATTCTTGTGTAATCGTTTAATCCATACTTACTTTTACTTTTACTTACGCTTGTTACCCCTCGTGGAGGAGCATAGGCTACCCGCTTATCAGCAGTCTCCATCCAACCCTGAGTATATCAATTATCATTATAAATATGTGTTTTCCCCTACCCACCCTCCCCCTTATTTATTAAAATATGATATTTACCAACTATATTATTATTTTTTAATCAATTACATAATCATTCAATAATGGCTGTTGTTACATCACAATGTTCTACAATAGATCTATTCATTGATTCATCAAATAAACCATATACTCATCTTAATAATAATGAATGGTCATCATATACAATAGATCCAATAATAGAATCAATTAATATTGATGAATTACCAATAAAATCAATCAATCATGAAATCACTTTATCTAATTCAATCAATAATTGTTCTATAGAAACACAATTATATAATGAAGAAGAGAAACTATTAACCCAATCTTTAATCAATAATAATCAAAATAATAATACTACTAATAATAGTAAAGTATTCAATGATTCATATTATGATCGAGATCTATTACATAATTCATATTTTTATAATAATAATTATTATTATGATCTTGATTATGATTTAATGGATCCAACAATAACCCCAACTTTTAATCATTCATCTATAATCAATCGAGATTATACAAGAAATACAAGAAAAATTGATAATGATCCAACTATATTATTAAGTTTATTAAAATGGTCACGTATTGGATCGAATCAATTGAATGGGGATGATGATCAAATTGATCGAATTAATTATCAATTTACAAGTGTATTATTATTAATATTATTAACATTAACTGGATTTCGACAATATTTATGTAAGTATTTATGTGTATTTTATTGTTATCAGAAAGGGGTTTTGTGGAGATTTCATTAAAGCTAGACCAACCATGGAAAATCTTGAAGCACTGGATAGATGTTATTATGGGACTCCTCAGTGGCAGTGCTCATCCACGATCCCGCATACGCGAGACTTGAAACGAAGACCTACCAGTCTCGTGCCAGAGCACTTAACTGATAGACCACTAAGCTGGCATGTAATTGTTTTTGCTGTGCAATTTGGAATTTTAGATGGTTTTTGATTAATTTCTATTTGAAATGACATTGTGGTATGGACTACTTATATATACACAAGTAGCATATAACGATGGTCGGGCATTGAATGTATTTCAGTAGAAGATAGAAACGTAATTGGTATGAAAATGTATGAATAATAAAAATCAGAAAGTATGAACCGATATTAGAGAGAATTGAATGATAGTTTGCAAATGAACTATTTACTATATGGTTCTCATATTTTACTGAGATATTCTTTAATGTTATGCTTGGTAACATTCGATTGTCCCCACCTTAAAAGGTGATGTATAAAAACAAACAAAAGTACATGAGTTAAAATCATTAGTCAATTGAAGCTAGACCACCATAGAAAACTTGGAAACACTGGACGGCCGTTTCGTCCTATTATGGGACTCCTCAGCAGTGCGCATCCATCTAGCTTCAATCGACTCATGATTTCAACTTTGATAAATACTGAAATCTCCAAAAAAAACCTTCTGGTTAGAAGTAGATAACTTGTTGAAATATCTAGGTGATAGGAGCAGGTATTGAAGCAGGCCGTAGAGGTTATCCGCACAGGATGCACAAATATGCCAACAATAGATTGATTAATTACGGACCTTAACAACAATGAGAAAACAAAAGCAAACAAAATTACATGTCCTTTTTTATTATCGTATTTTTGAATAAGTGTTGCATAATTTTGAACTGTAATCAGTAATTATTACCCTTTAAAAAAGTTTTCTTGATTATTATTCAGTGATCTATCAGTTAAGTGCTATGGCGCGAGACTAGTAGTTCCTGGGTTCAAATCTCTTGAGGTGGGATCGTGGATGCGCACTACTGAGGAGTCCCACAACAGGACGAAACGGCCATCCAGTGATTTCAGGTTTTCCATGGTTGGTCTAGCTTCAATTGAATCATGATCTCAACTATATAGTATTACTAAAATCTCCACAAAACCCCCTTCTGATCATATTAGATATGTTGATGTTAGTCTAATTTGTTATTTTGAAAAGACTAAATCTATTAAAAATTTAGTCAGAGGTCAACTTGTAAATTCATAAGACTTTAATGATCAATCATTAGTTAGAGCATTAAACTGAACTCATTTGACACTTAAGAATGATCTCAATATTCATATTTGTATTTGAAGTATTGTGGTGTAGGTTACTTATATCCACTTAAGTAGTATATAACGATGGTCGGGCAGGGAATGTATTTCATGTAGAAGATCGATAACGAAAGAACGGGAAAGAAAATGTATGAACAATAATAATTGGAGACGATGGACTGATATTTGCGGAAGGAATGGTCAAAGTTGAGACAATTGATTGATAGTTATCAAATGAATTATTTACTATATGGTTCTCACATTTTACTGAAATGTTGTGCACAAATACATTCGATTGTCCTAAATTATGTTCTTGTTCACTTCAGTATTCACTGATAGAGTTGTTCAATAGAAATTTCAAAATTAACCTTCCAACATAATTATTGAATGTTAGATAATAATAACAATAGTAGTAATAATATTATATACTTGAAATCATGAAGCTAGACAGCCATGGAAAACCTGGAATCACTAGATGGCCATTTCGTCTTAATATGGGACTCCTCAGCAGTGCGTATCCGCGATCCCGCTTCACGAGATTGGAGTCAAGGATCTATCTGTCTCACGCTTGAATGCTTAACCCCTAAACCAATAAGTTGGCTGGAATTCAACGGTGGTAATGTAATAATATTATTAATAATAAATCTTGATTTATACAATATAAATTTACCAAACGAATAACAACTAACAACTCAAAGATGATTAATAATAAATATTTCCTTAAATTCCTATGAGTAGGAAGTTTTTTTATTTCTGACATTTTTTTGACTTAATGTAAGCCAATTACTCTGAAGAAGCAATTAAGATGAAGTCACGAAACATCAGAAATACAATTTTTCTACTTATAGGGATCTAAGAAAAAAAAATAATATTTATTATTTATTTTTTTACCAAATACTCAATTTATTTGAAACTATCAAATTCAACATTGGTATTGACACTTAGTAACTCAATAAAACTGTTATGAACCTAGTCTAGTGAACAAGAAAATGAGTGAGGACAATAGAATGTAATAAAACACGAAATTAAAAACTATCTCACTAAAATCTGACAACTATATAATAAATAGTTACTATGTAAACTATTAATCAATTGTCTCAATGTTGACTATTCCTTCTTCAAATATCAGTTTATGGTCTCTGATTTTATTGATCATCTATTTCAACACTAATCGTGTCCCGTCCACTTTCTCTGCTTATCGATTTTCTATTGAAATATATTCTCTGCCTGACCATCATTATATACTACTTATATGGATGTAAGCAACCCATAACACATTATTTCTCTGTATTGTTTTAAAGAAATCGAAAACAAAGGATTTTACAGAATAATATGAATTCATTTTTATTTCGTCAGGTACTACTAATCAGCTGCTTATAAAGTAACGAACGAAAATCGTTCGAGATGAATGTATGTATTCATAATGTATCGAAGATTTCAATGGAGTAAATAAAGTTACAAAAATTTTGTTTTTGAATCAATAAAATTTGAGATGAACGGTTCGAGAACATTCAAAGAGTGATCAAAACTCATTAAGTTAACAAACATTGGATGAATTGTATAATGAACCAATTAAAAATAGATTAATGGTAAATATAGAGAGATATAATGTCAAATTAGTCAGTTATGAAATCAAATGACAATGATGTAATCAAAACTTCAGAAAGAGTTGAAATAATGATTGACGTAATGAATAAAAAGGTGTTGAAATGTTACCATGACAATAAAGACTTGTTACTGTCTCTTTTTGGTTATATAGATTTGGATTTAGATATTTGATAGCTATCGCTTAGGCGAATTTAAAAAAAAGATTGAAGTTTGATTGTTTATTAATCATTTTGAAAGACTTCAGTGTATCAGCTTGATATTCTGTGTCAAGGAGATTTCATGAGATTGCACTACTGAATTCTTTTCATCCACTTGACCTCAGACTTGAAACGAACGTAGGCTCTCCTTTCTGTTCTACCAATATAACTCCTTTGGTAGGTACATATAAATTTATATACACAGTTCGTGCTATCATCAAAAGGAAACCTATCGATCTATGATTTTATAAAAGAACATGTTGTTTTAGATAGGGCAATCAGTTTCGTTGCAGCATAAGTTCTTGTGAAATTCAAAGATGATGATACCACAGAGTTCATTAATATGAGACTAGGAACGTCATTTATATGAAAGTATCCTGCAGATAAACTGATTATCCTGTCCTCATTGGTATAGAAACAAAAAATATATTATTATTATTATTACTAACTTTCTACCGAATATTCAATTTATTTTAGTGCCCTCTTAATATATGAACGTGCTGATTCCCGCCAATCACAGAGCATTGATTTATTAATCAGACCAATGACATACGAAACCCGTACGATCAGTCTAAAGTCTTTATCTGTCCTTCTTCCTGCCTAACTCAACACTTTAAATCCAGAACACCAATAACAGCCTCTACAATATAAATCCTTATTATCAAACATATTGGGTTTATATACCAAACAAACTGACTACATCGTACCAATAAAATAGAAAATAACATTTGTACAAGATTTAGCCAAATGAGGCTGTGAATAGGGGGGAACAGTAATCAATAGACAGGGCATAATTCAAGAATGGTAAATCGTATAATAATAGTCTATAGATCAAAATGAAGCTTATAATAAGAGGGACACGAATATGAATATTTTAGTTACTTACCAATTATCTGATAGGAAATATACATATCATATTGGTCCATAAATAGTCCTTCAAGTTATCATTCATAATTCTCCATCAGATATAAGAAAACTATCAACTCCAATCTTGGTATTGACACCTACATACTCATTAAAAGTGATTAGGATAATGAATAGGGATTCTTTTTTTTTTTTAATTTATCTTATTCTAATAAATGATTGGCATTAATCTATTCAAATGATTTTAGATAATTTACTTCACTCAAACAACAATTTTTTGGTTCTATTAATAAATAAAATTGTTATCAGAAGGAGTTTTTGGGGAGATTTACTATTTTTATAGTTTAAAGAGTTAGTCATTTGAAGTTAGACGACCAGGGAAAACCTGGAAGCACTAGACGTCCGTTACTACCCCTTCTGGTATTAACAATTATGTGTTCATTAGTGACTGACTTGAAGAGGTAAATCCAGGAGTTCTAGTGAGAAGAAGTGACCAGTGGAGTTCAAACTATGTCTGTTGTGAAATCGGAACTCACTGAAGACAATTGGTGAACGGTCACTCAACTTCGTGGATTGCTTGGAGTTAGACATAAACTTCATCGAATGCCAGCTCAGTGGTCTATCGATTAAGTGCTCTGGAGTGAGACTGGTAGGTCCTGGGTTCGGATCTCGTGAGGCGAGATCGTGGATGCGCACTGCTGAATAGTCACATAATAGGACTAAACGGCCGCTCTCAACTATGAAAATAAAATTGTATTATTATTTAATGAATAATGAAGATTTGAAGGTGTATGTTAATCAATCAAAGAACTGGAAATTTGTATTAGTCTTGACATTTCACCATCATATTAGTTAGTTTAAACCATTCAGTGACTTCATTTTAAATTTAATTTTTCCTCATGGAGGGATATAGTTCGCTCACCAAGATTCTTCATCCAACTCTGTGCTGGGCAATCCTTTCCAGTTATTTCCAGTTTTT